AACCTCGAGGAGCACACCACAGTACTCTATATCCTACAGGGTTGTACCTCGTAACGATCACATTAGTTCACCAACTCCCCGGTTCTGACATGAAGGGACAATATTACCGTTTGACGGCATTTCGCCCACCTAACACACAAGCAAGTCCCGTCACAGATGGGATCCAATAACTATTCCACCAACCCGCATGGACCCTAGTATATAAAGACTCTGCCCCCCCCCACCCAGTGGCGAAGTAGGTTCTATCATTATTGTTGTGTGTGTAATCTCCACTCTCTAGCTCTCTCCCTGTTATCGTCTTCAAGCTCTCTATTATCACTGTGCTCTAACTTAGTCATCGGAGTATCCTCGCCGGGTGAGCCACCCTAGGATCTCTGACTCATTTCTTTCAGGAACCCAATTCTCATCGTTGCTGGCAATTAGATCATATCCAACAGGGAGCAGCCGGATTACACCACATCACTATTTAAAAATATTGATTATTAATTACTGTATACAAAAGAAGTAGTGGAATCTAGTATTCCTAGTTGAACCATTGTCTTCTCAGGCAACGGTTCGTGCAAAACTCGACCACCGGCAGCATCATTAACAACGATGGTATGACCTTACCAACCACGTGGCCACCCATAAATGATCGTCGGTGGTTAGCGATCTCATCTAACCTTAAGGAAGAGTCGGTGGTCACTTGTATTTAAAAAAATAAAACACCCCGTATTCAGCTTCCTATACACTGGTTGTATGAACTTCCCAGCCATCGACGACCACCCATAAGTGATCACCAATGGTCGGTGATCTCATCTAATGTTAAAGAACAGCCGACACTCACCTGTACTAAAAGAATGGCTCGGATTCTACCTTGTTCTCAAGCATGGACATAGTTTTCAAGGCCACAAGACGCCCTTGGAGGCTCGCCTTGCCTAATCACCAAGCAGTTTTATACTATGTATTATAAAATACTTTTTTTATTCTTTATATTTTTGACATTATAATTATAAAATAGGCACTATTAAATTAAAATATTCATTTTGCGTGTTTATATACTAAGTTATTTTTATTATTTTCTTATTTGTTAGGGTTTGATCAATACAAACATTGTAAATGCTGTATTGAACCCTGAACTTTAAAACCTAACCCAATAAGTAAGGAAGAACTTAAAGTTTTGTCTGATCAACACACTTCTTTTTATTATTATCACCAAGCACTACTATTTTTCTTCTTTTCTTAACAAAAATAAGGGTTCAGCTCCTATATTTTTTTAATTTTCTTTTCTTTTTTCTTTTTCTCTTATGAATATGTTGATTTTCTATACTTTGACATGAACTCTATACTTTTCTTATAAAAATTATGAATAATCATTAAGGAAATATTACTATGGTACCTAGGGAAATATCGTAGGATCTATGTTTTCTACATAAAAAATTCATCACGTAGATAACAAAGCGCCCCACTATCCCTAGCGGTGCCTTGGCGCCTTGAAATCTATGAGCATGGATTTGCAATAACAGTAAATAGATTCGCTGTATTCTACCTTAATATGACCCTCCTGGCCACCGGTGGCAACCCATAGCTGATCATTGATGGTCGGTGATCTCATATACATTATAATGTGGTCACCGGTAGTTAAAAAAGAAAACGCCTAGAGGGCCCTGTCTTCTTAGGTGATGATTTGGGCTAAGTTTTAATAGGGCCCAACTATTGCTACTTGCTATGCCCATACTGGCCACCAGTGGTCACACAAAAGTCGTCGTCGATGGTCTACTGAGTCCGGTTTGTAGTAACAGTATGGCTATAAAAGACTAAGTTGTTTGTTTCTAGTAACAGTACTCCGTTTGCAGTAACAACTCTTCTCAAGCGCTGTCAGCAGTTTTGGCCTAGACTCTCGCCCACTAACTACAATACATATGGTATAACACTCTTGCCACTGGCGACCACACAGAATTGATCGTTGGTGGTCAGTGATCTCAATTTGTATATAGGGATGTAAACTATGTAAACGGATTGGATCAGATTCAAATTAAGGTATATTCGAATCCCATCCGATATTGTTTATGTCGGATCCAGTCCAATCTGAAGATCCGATCAGATCTGATAGGATTCGATCTGAATTCGAATCCTATTGGATTTTCGGATTTGACTTGATCTGACTTGTTTTATTTAAAAATTAAGAAATTATTAAAAGAACAAATAAAAATATACCAATTTAAAATAAAGAAAAACAAAAATACAAGTATTTTTAATTATTTTCATCATATATATACATGTTTTTATAAAAAAATAAATAATATAACAAATTCATAAAAATACAATATAAAGAATACATTTATAAATAAATAAATAACATATATATGTATTATATATATATATATATAGTTATATTAATAAATATATCACACATCATATCGGATCTTCTTGGATCAGGTAGGGGGTGATCCGAATTCGACAAAATAGGACTGGATCCGATCCGATGCATTTGCACGCCTATTTGTATATGCTCCATAACAGTTATATAACAGTTATAGTATTCAGTTTTGAAACATTCTTCAAAGTCATACAACAAACCATAAATCTACGTGAATTTATAATAAGCAGAAGGAACAAAGACCGAATACTATAACTCATACAACACAAAGACTGCAGTAAGCGTTAAAAACAAAGGTTGGAGTAAGAAAACTCTTCAAACTAATACAACACAAAAAAATTCTACTTAAACTTCTAATAAGCATTAAAAACGGAGACTGTAATAAGAAATAATAAATTAACCAGATTGAACTTTTTCTTAGCGCTATAGTAGACTTGATTCCCGGTTTTGATTTAGAGCGTGAATCACATTTGATGTAGAGATTGTAAGTTTCTTAGTTGCAGTTTGGATGTAGGGAAGTAAATTTGATTCCTAGTTTTGATCCAGAGTGTGAATCACATTCGATGTAGAGATTGTAAGTTTCTCGGTTGCAGTTTGGATACAGGGGGTGTTGATGAATTGGTTGGAACTAGACCTGTTCATGGGCCGGGTGGCCCGACCCCGGACGGGCTTGGACATTTTTATAGGTCCGCGGGCTTAAATTCGGGCCAAAAAGCCTGGCCCGCAATAAATTCGAGCCGGGCTCGGGTTTTGTCAAAATAGCCCGGCCCGAGCCCGGCCCGACCCAACCTAATATTAAACTTAAAATTATTTATGTGATTATGTCCATTTGAATAATTTTTTTTTATTTAAGAATGTAAAATTGTGTTTTAAAATATAAAAGAAAAGGAAAAATACCATCTTGTAGGCCCATTGTTCATTTAAATAGAAAAAAAAATACTTATCTGAAATTTTAATTCTAATTTGAATAGGGAAAATTGTTTTTTTTTTTTCAATTTGGTCGGGCTTCGGGCTTTTTACCAGGGCCGGGCTCGGGCTCGGGCCTAGTATATTTTCATTAGTGACAAGTGAAAGCCCGGCCCGACCCGACCCATGAACAGGTCTAACAAATGTTTTGAAATTCAAATAAAACTAACTATTGAGGTTTTTTTCTTGAAATTTAGCAACGTGGGCTTACCCACACATAAAAAACTGAACGTAACTGAGAAACTACTTAAGTCGAACTATGAAAATGGAATGTTATTTCCAGCAAAATTGGAATGCCATGTGTCTGAAGGGGGGAGACTATAGGCTAACCACATTCCTTTTAATATATTAGACTAGTGAATGACCCCGTACTAAGTACGATGAATCAGTAATGTTAAATTTACATTATGAAATCAATAATGTTAAATTTATATTTATTAATATTTTGAATAATTATTAAAATTTTAAGAAATATTATTTCAAAAAATTTTTCAATAATGATTAGAATATGGATAGATTTCTTTTGTTATGATGTAAAGCGTTAATGATTAACTGAGATTGATAGAAAGTGGTTGTGGATAACCACTTTTGCATTTTCTACATTTTTTAGGAATGGATTGAAAATGGTGGTAGTGGGTTGTGAGATTTAGCAACAACTTTTTAGAAAATGCTATATGTCTAGCTTTCCAAAAAAATGAGAAAAGAATGTCATGTGTTTAAATGGTGGGGAATTATAGCCTAGTAGTGGGTTGTGAGCTTTAGCAAGAATTTCTCAGAAATTGCCACGTGTTTAAATTTTTAGAAAATGAGAAGTCCACTTGTCTAAATGGTGATAGTGGATTGTGGACTTTAACAGCAACTTCTCAAAAAAAAAATGTCACAAGTCTTCACTATTAGCATTACTTCGCTGATTTATGTGATTGTAATCTCTCTCTAACGATAATAAATAACCAAATTTCAGGCCGAATGGATGAGATCTGGGTTTGTAGTTGTCTGTAGTTGTGTTTGTATAAGTTGATAACCAATATGGCAAATATGTAAGAATGTAGAGTGGTCGATGATACTCATCAACGTGCATTGATACATAGCCATTCTTTCCAGACCAATATTTATCTTGAAAATCGATAAATATCAGCTTGTATGGGCCAATACTTACTGATACTTAAACGTTGCTTTCACTTAATATATCTAGAATTCTCAACTTTTCCAACTAAAATCGTTCTCCTGATTAGCTTCAAACACTAAATCGAAGAATATATTATGACTTTGAAATTTAAGCTTTTGGCTTCTAGGCTCCCCACTTACATGACAGAAGAGATGATTTCATAAGAATGGCTATTGACAGTGTCTGGCACTTCTCATTGCCAAGATTTTCTCATTTGCAGCCATTCTCCACCTGCCACGCACAACGGAGTATCTGGGCTGGGTATCGATGGACATTTCTGAACATATCCTTATTTCTACCAGAGCCATATTATATACGACACTCTCACCTGGCAGGCTTCAGCCTGGTGCTGATTGATATTCACCCGGGAATACATCCATAATCCATTTCTTGATCGACTTATTCGCGAGGCCTCCATTCTGATTTCTGAGGGATCTCAAATTTCGAAAATGAATACATAGGTCGATGCTACTATCTACTTGATACGAAGTGGAGAGGACAACTGGTCTATTGGCACCATAAGAAAATTGGGGAAAAAATGAATCGACTATATAGTGTAATGTTCTTTACAAACTCAGCCGCATGTAGTTGGCAGTAGGAACAATATTTACACACCTGAACCAACCCCCCAAAAACACTCCAAAAATCCTCCACTAATTAGATGAACAATCTGCTAAATCACTCTTGATCACCCTGGTATTATATGATCCACAAGAACCACATTTGTGATACAACCAGTGGAAGCGTGCAGTTCCCTTCTTATGACAATCATTGCACAGAATATCCTAGATTGGTTACCAAATAACAATAATTAATTTATCTGCACAATGGGGGTCGAAATAGAAAACAAAAATGAATGAAGAAAATATTTGTGGGCATTGTACCTGACAACGATCCCTGTACTCTTCTGGAAGTTCCTCGGTAGCCAACAAAGCATCAAGCATGCCAAAGTAGACCTGAATGGGTTTGCAAACTTTTAGAAAATCACAAGACAAAATAATTACCTTGAGGTATTATTAAATTATTATCTATTTCATCCCAAAATATTTTCTCTACTGTAATCTACAAACTTGTATGAATTATTTCCTGGAGACCTAGGCTATACCCACGAGCCAATCTTAACCCAATAACCATAGAGAAGGAAAGAGATGATTTAATAAATAAAGATAATAACATAACTTATAACTTTCCACCACACCCTGTGGAACACAAGTAATGATTTTTATACACTGACACTGAAGGCGTAGGTTAAATTGAAGAGAAACCAATAAATTAACATAATTGGTTGGGCTCTTTGTGCTGCAAGGACTAAAAGATCAGGTGGTGAATCCTTCTTGCAATAACATTATAACAGTGCTGGAACATTTTCTCTTTAGTTGGTAAAGAAAAACGAACGTTCTGTTTGCCATTGAACTTCCTGTTTCAGTACATCAGCTTCCATTTTCTTTAACCCAAAAATTTACCACAGTAATGTACAGAGATAACCAACCTCCATACTGGTAAATGAATTGCCCAATCAATATTATATTTACATCTCTTTAATATGTATACTTTTTTTGATAAGTAGAGTTAATTAATCATAATAAGCAACTGAAGTACAACATAACAACCCTAACAAGTGGTGCGAGATGCAGCCTTAAGACACACAAAGGTTACAATTGTGCCCAGAAAAGGAAGTTCTCTTACCGCCATATCTCCCAAGGATTTGCTACATATCGGACAGGTATAGTGACTGCAGGTGTATGCCTAGACACAACGGAAGAAGGGAGATTTCAATTAAACCAACTTATCAATAAAACAGTAAGGGAGTAAGAAACCATGTACAAAGCTAAATGATCATGCAGGCTATACCTGAAAGCAAGCTGAATGCATGAAATGGCCACAAGGAAGAGCTCTAACTGCTGCACTTGATGTGAATAAAAAGTCACAGCAGATGGGGCAGTTTGTTTCTAGACCTTTCTCCCGACATTTGTGGTCCACTAGCTTCATTCCCAGGCAGCAATTGCACGTCATACAATGGAAGAAGTCAACACCAAGTCCCTTCCCAAGGCGGCACAAATTGCAAAATGGACAATGATACACAGTCCTGAAGCACAAAAATCCAAGAAAGAATGTCAAAAAATCTGTGTTTCAACAACAGTTACTTCATAAGCATTGGACCCTTGAGCCTAGTTTAAGGCAGCAACAATGTTTACTATGACTTGGTGTTAGAAAAGCTTTATGTCTACTTCTCTATAAACTAAATTGAGCAGAATGCTTTCAGATTTCTCATGGTACTCCTTTCCTTCAATAGAAAAAAAAAAATCTCGAAGAGAAATATACAACCTTTGAAGGCTAACCAATTAAAGTTGTGTGCAAAAGTAAAGATAGGGGTTAGGTAATGATGGCTAGCCTAACAAAGTTTCAAATGTTAGCAATCAACTGTAAAAGCCAAATATTATTTGAAACTAGCAAAAGTCCAGAAGTAAAAGTATTTCTTATTTTTCCCAAGTTTCATCTTGTGAAATTAAGAGTATTGTCTGTGTGACATATAGCTTCCTAATACAATTATTGTTGTACAAAGGTAGCAAACCACCAAAACCATGGGCAGCTTATAACCAACAGAAAACTGAAATGATAGAATATGCAAACTTGATTAAAAACTACTATGATAAGCATTGTATCATATAAGAGTTACATATTTTAATGTTAAATTATATGTAACCATCTAATGCCGAATGAACTGACAAGCTTATTCTCATCAAACTGAAAATTCCACATCAGATATAAAAATGTTAGTTGGTTTTAGCATAGTCTGATGCATGAGATGTGTAAGCATTAAGGCATGAGAGGCTTGAGCCTCATGAGACCTCATTCATTCAAGGAAAAAAACATTTTAAACTATAAAAGAAAAGGCTGCATATGAATGCTCAAAGGAATTGATCATCACACAAACAAGGAGCATAGTACTAAGAGCTTAAAAATAAAATTAAATGCATCAAGACTATTAGAAAAACAAAACCTCAAGTACTGTTTGAAATGCTAAAAATAGGGGTGCAACTTGGCCGGGCTGAGGTTGGGCTTTTGTCAAAATTTGAATAGGTCCAGTTCAAAAGCCCAAGTTGCACCCCAAGCTAAAAATAGAAAAAAAAAACGAAATTGTACACATAAGAAACTTAGAATTGGTCTTTAAATCAATCTTGTGATGAAAATCCCACTTTAATTAATGTTTGGAAAACATGTTTCAACAAATGGCATCTCAAAGAGTGAGGCATGTGCCTTGTTCTTCTTTTAGGCTTTAGAGTCAAGACTGGATTTTGCAATTAGAAACATAATACCTTTCATCATCAAAAAATTTGCAAATATTGCAATAATATTTTGCCATAGAAAATCCATTGCATGAAGGTGTTGTGCAAATTGGTCCCACTGCTTGAATCTTCAGACACCTCATGCACATCATTTCAGTTGTTGCTTTCCTGTGAAGAATAAAATGTAAATAAAAAATGTAAAATCTTTGGAGTAGAAGGTAATTTCAGTTGGTAAAAGCTCCAAAGTCTTGTTTCCATTATGTTTATTAGCTTTTTACATTTGGAAAGGTCTATTAAGCTCATTGATGGACTTGGATGTTTATACTGTTACTAGCTTTATTTTGAGTTATCAAAGCTTTCTCAATCTTGTAAATGATCAAAAACCTATATATCTTGAATTATTAACTTACCTATCCATTGAGTGATCACTCACTTTATCATGGCAAAACCTACAAGTGAACAACTTCCCACAGCAAGCAGCAACAAGTTTGCAGTTTCTTTTGTAGTGTTCACACCCAAATACTTGCTTCTCTGGATCCCGGAATGACGGCGAGCATCCAGATACAGCTTCACCATTTGTACTTTCCTCTGTTCTCTCTTGAGGTAACTTCTGCTGAGCAGCTATCCAGCGACTACCATAACCCACTTAATGGTTAGGTTATGGAATGCTTCATGATTAAACAAGATTGCATGTTTAGAGGTTCATAAAAGAATAGTATCATTGAAACAAACCTAGTCATAAGATTTTGAATAAGATATGCTTTCCTCCTTGGATCAAGGGTTGAGTCCTGAGAAACCTTTCTTATTTCTGATTCGAGCTCACTCTGATTCATCCTGAAAATATCTTTCCAGCCAGGTTTGAACATCTGATCACTCTGGTCAAGGCTTTCTTGGATATTGGAGCCTAAAAGGGCACAAAAACCTAGATACATTAAAAAAAATCTTTCCAATATAAACCCACAGAATATTACAAACTAACGGCAGAAATCTTAATCTTGTTCTAAATATGTCATTATTCCCAAACAAAACATACAAAAGTTAACACGTATTAACAAAAAAAATGGCAGAACAAAGTGAGTATTGCAAAAACCTTGAGAAATGCAACTATCTGAGTTTGCATTCTGTGCTGATGCCACAGGAGATCCTTCCCACCATTCATTAAGCCACTCGCTGAACATTGTGTTTTTGGTTGCCTGCTTCCATGTATCCATCATTTTGTTTTGTTCCTCCTGAGTAAGTGCAGAAGTCACCCATGGTAACATTGACTGGAGCACCTCCGCACCAGTAGTCCCAATTATGCGGCCAACAATTTTTTCTTGCTCCTCTACAGAAAAATGTCTATCAAACAATGGCCATAGCTCAAGTTCTTCCCTGAAAACATGTTGGTCCAAAGTGACCCTTATAGATTTGCACATTCCTTGAAGCTTTGTAGCAAGCTCATTGTACTTTCTAATCAAATCAAATTCATTTGTACAAGAATCAAAGCTATTTCCAATTGAGTCTTCAGAGTTATTGGTCCTATTCAAGCTTTCATGAAGTTGTGAAAGTTCAGAGAGAACAGATGAAATATCTTCAAACAGTTCTTCTTCCTGCTTGTGGTCCAAAGTATAAGAGTGGCTGACGTTATGAAGAGTCTCCTTGGATTCTAATGCTGGGAAGACTATCTCATCCTCAGCATTGCTATGAGCTCTGTACAATCCCCACAGAAGACGGAATCTTCCACTGAATTGCCTAAGGAATGTCTCATCACAACCGATAAGCTTCCCTGATTCAACATCTAAATACTCCAGGTCCTTCTGAATGGCTTTATGAAATTTGAATATATTATCAATCGGCCGTGGTGGATAAGCAATGTCAGAAGAGTTAAAATCTGTTTCCCAAATAAAAAGACTGGAATTAAGAGAAGGAGCAGAAGCACTGAAAGACAAGGAGCGCAAAGACTTTGCTGCAGTAAGTGAACTCATTCCAAGGTTATTGCTGTTTACTCCTAACCCTGGGACACAGCAAGCCTGATTACTAAGGGACTGTTTACATGTACTGATAGTTCCATCTCCATTTTTGCATGATCCTAAGAAGTTGCCACGTTTAACAGGCCTTCTGTCATCTTCTGCTAGACTGGATGCGGGTTTTTCCTTGTCAGCTAATACAGAAGCGCATGCACAAAATGGTTGAATAACACCATCTTCAATTTCAGTTAACTTTTTCACTGGACAGCAACCGAGTGCACTTGAAGACAAACACATATCCTGGGATCTACCCTTGCATGCCCAGCCAGAGAAAAGTGTAACAAGGGCAGCATCAGATTCTGGAGCTGCATCACATAAACTTTGACTGTCATAAAGTTACAACAAAGCAAATTGTATCTTGTGCAACTAAGTCAAAACATAGGATAAATATAAAACCTGCCAAATGCATATTTAGGAGAAAAGACTTTGCTTCTTCATCAGTTAGTGATCCAACCAGCCATGGCAAGACTTGCTCCACCAATTTCAAGGGCATTACACATAAGCTCTGATACAGTAGCTCTCGCTGCCTTTTGGGGGTAAAATGCTTTCGTGCAAGTGGAAGAACCTAAGAATGAAAGGCACTAATTAGCTGATTAATAGGGACAAGAAGAGGGTGTATGATTATACAGACTTCAAGTCAAGAAAATGATAACTTGTTATTGCATATCTTCCAATGGGCAATAGGGACAAGAAGAGGGTGTATGATTATACAGACTTCAAGTCAAGAAAATGATAACTTGAGATTGCATGTCTTCCAATAGGCATGACTGCCACTTTTTGTACATATCCAGGGATAACTCCATAAAGCTTTCCAACAAATTTAAAAGGAATTGTCCTTTTCCATGCTAGTTGAAAGCCCTTGAAGACCAGATTTGGAAGGATTTATTGCATCAAGAAAGAAAGCTAACCTGAACTTCCTCATCATGAAAGTGCTTCAGTATAGTGTCCATTATTTGATCAGCATGTGAGCATAACTTTGCATAAAATTCAGCTGAAGTAGAGTTGGCTCCAGCATTTTGTATACTTTCTATCAAGCATCTAAACTTGTTAAATTGATTTTCTTCTTCAGCATGCTCCTGGGCAAAGGAAAGTTCTTTATCTACTGCAGGGAATATAACCTTGTCCTCAGCAATGCTGCAGCGAGAGACACAAGCTCATTTGACAAGATACAAATTGAAAAAAAAAACACAATCATAATAATCTCTAATATGGTAAAAATAAAAGTTATAGTAATTCTTTTCTCTAAAATAGGCAAAAGAAACATTAAGCACAAGTGCATATTTCTATTAGTTTATTTGATAACTTAGGTATAGTTGGAAAAAGAAATTTTCACATGGATGTTGAAAATTGTGGGGTTTTCAGGCTGATGACGACCTATGAGGTTTTGAAGGTCTTTTTTTTTTTTTTTT